ATTATAACCATTTTCTAAAAGAAAGAACATTTTAACAAGATGTATCCGTGTTTGGAATAAAGCCAGTCCTTTTTGAGAAGAAAGAGTGGGCAGACCTACATCAATAAAATGGATACATTCAAATGTTTCAGACATGGAAGTATTACAGGCGAAGCATTTTCAAATATGATTTTGCATATCATTGTTTGACTACTTTCTCAATTTGGGAATCTGTATCCCATGGGGACATGGAGAGTGGAGCTTAAAGATGATATTCCTCTCAGTTTCATGTTGACCAAAAGACGACTCAGCAATTTTGCTCTATTAGGAAACTTTGAGGCAAACAGAGAGAAGCCAAGGAACAATAGCAGTCATCCCTCCAACTGCTTCTTCTCCGACTCGGCCAGAAAGGAAGTCGTCCAAGTGTTGGGGCTAAAAGCTTGTTGTGGAGCCATCCAGGATTTATCTGGGAAGGGTGACATCTGCCACTGCTGTAGCAGAGCAGGGACACGGCATGCATGTGAGGGCACACAAACACATGCACAAGGCCCTCTCTCCAGGACACAGGGCTAAGGCATCATGCTGCTAGAGGGGCTGGTATTTGCTACTTCATTAAGGTAAGGCTGCCGGATGCTGAGCTCTTAAGTGACAGCAGGAGGCAGATGGGGATGGTTCTTCCTCTGCATCCCCTGGCCTGAGACTGGGAGGCTTGGACTCAGAGCCCAGCTCCATTTCTCTGTTTGCCACATGTTCATTAACACAGGCAAGGCACTGCCCTCCATCCTGGGTGAAGAGTCAACAAAAGGCCCCTCGTCTCTGCTTCCTGGAGCTCACTTTCACCCTGTAACTTTGGGCAAGATGTCCTGAGACTGTTTCTTTGTAAAATAGATCAAGGATGAGGGTCCCATGAAATGATCCGCTGCACAAATGTAAAGTGTTACAATGTTGCTTTGTCTTAAACTTTGATTTGTTAAGCCAGATCAGATCCTTGGAACTGGGGTTAAAGAAATGACTAAAGCAAAGCTCCATCCCTCCAGGCCCTCTGTCTAGTGGGGAAGGTAGACAAACCAACAGTAACAAGTAGGAATAAAAGGAGGCGAAGTTACCATCATGAGTTATACAGGAGAACCTGATAAAGATGCAAGGTATGCTTTTAGAATCTCGATGGCACTCGGCATCGTGGCCTAGCTGGTGCACCTCTAGCACGTGGCTGACTGCCTGGCAGGAGCACACGTGGAGGGGCTGGAGGCTAGGGAGAGAGCTGTGGCACGGGGGGCCATGGCCCACGTGTTCTTTGGAGAAAGCAGCAGAGAGAGGGCTGGCTCTAAAGGGGAACCTTTGGTTGGCCTCCAGCAGAAGCTTACGTTTCCATGTATAAGAAAAGTGGTGTGCCTGAGCCCGCGGGGTTCGAGACCTGGGCAGCGAGACCTCATCTCTACAATAAATCAAAAAATCAGCCAGGCGTGGTAGCATATGCCTGTAATTCCAGCTACTTGGAAGGCTGAGGCGGAAGGATCACCGGAGCCCAGCAGGTCGAGGCTGCGGTGACCAGGAGCGGCCACTGCACTACAGTCTGGGCGACAGAGTGAGACTCCAACTCAAAAAAAAAAAAGTGGTAAGGCCTGGAGAGGAGGCCCCTTCAGAACTGTCGTGAAGATAAATGAAGCCAGAGAGAGGGTGGAGGGGACACTACCCCAGAGAGGACTTCCCTGCAAGTGGGCCTGAGGCAAGTCAGAGCTGGCCTTGCAGGGGAGCCGGGAAGCCTTCCAGGGTGTGGTCTGGGTATCCCAGGATCTGTGCCAAGGGCATTCTCTGCCTCTCCAGACCTAACTGTGCACTCTGTGCTGTGACTCCCCAGCCTGGTCTGTCCCATCTCTCTGCCCCCTCATGGAATTATTCATCTGGCATCAAATTCTTGCCATCATCCTCCATGGGCCAGGCACTACAGAGAGATGGGGAGGAGCAACAGAGGTCAGCAGGTGCCTGTGGAACTAGACCCCCAAGAAGCACAGTTGTGGGTGGGGCTGGAGAGCATGCAATGAGGCAGGAGGGAAGGGCAGGTCTAGAGGGAAACCTCACTTCGCCCCATTGCAGTGCTGGAAATGCTTGCTTGTCTGGACCACATCTGCTTCCAGAGGCAAAAGAGGGTCATGTTTCTCCCCAGGAGTATGGAATTGACATACCTGAGACCAGGGAGTAGTCCTGCAAGCTGGAAACTGCTGAGACTTCTGTTAGCCTCCCAAGACCCCAGCAGTGACCAGTGTCACCACCCACTTTTTTTTTTTTTTTTTTTTTTTTGAGACAAGGTCTCACTCTGTCACCCAGGCTGGAGTGCAGTGGTGCAATTATAGCTCACCGCAGCCACAAACTCCTGGGTTCAAGTGATCTTCCCACCCCAGTTACCCAAGTAGCTGGGACTACAGGCAAGCACCACCATGCCTGGCGAATTTTTTTTTTTTACACAAAAATTTTTTTTAGAATAGAGATAGTATCTTGCTATGTTGCCCAGGTTGTTCTCAAACTCCTAGGCTCAAGGGACCCTCCTGACCTAGCTCCAGTCAGAACGGTCATCATCAATAACTCAAAAAACAACAGATGCTGGAGAGGATGTGGGGAAAAGGGAACACTCCTACAGTGTTGGTGGGAATGTAAATTAGTACCTCTGTGGAAAATAGTGTGGCGATTTCTAAAAAATCTGAAAATCGACCTTTCATATGATCCAGCAATCCCCCTTCTAGGAATATACCCAGAGGGTCTCAAATCATTCTATAATAAAGATACCTGAACACACATGTCTATTGCAGCATTATTCACAATAGTAAAACATGGGACCAACTATGCTGCCCATCAAAAGTGAACTGGAGCCAGGCTCAGTGGCTCAGCCTGTAATCCCGCGCCTTTGGGAGGCTGAGGTGAGTGGAATGCCTGAGCCCGCGGGTTCGAGACCCACTTGGGCAACTTGGTGAGACCTCATCTCTACAATAAATCAAAAAAAAAATTAGCCGGGTGTGGTAGCACACGCCTGTAGTTCCAGCTACTTGGAAGGCTGAGGCGGAAGGATCGCCGGAACCCCAGCAGGTCGAGGCTGCAGTGGCCAGGAGCAGCCACTGCACTCCAGTCTGGGTAACAGAGTGAGACTCCAACTCAAAAAAAAAAAGAAAGTCAACTGTATTAAAAAAAAATGTGGTACATTTACACGATGGAATATTATGCAGTCATAAAGAAAAACAAAATTATGAACTTTGCAGCAACCTGGATGGAATTAGAGTCTATAACACTCAATGATTTATCACAGAAACAAAGATCTGCATGCCACACATACTCACTCATAAGTGGACCCTGAACATTTATCATAACACTATAAGAAAGGAATTGGCAGTAATGGAACACTGCCGGAAAGGGGGGGTATATAAAATCAATAAGGGTACCCACACTTCACCTGTATGATGACCACGTAGGTACCTACACCTCTTTTGTATCCTACATTTTAAAAATAAAATAAAATAATTATTAAAAAAGAAAAAGAGACAGAGATTCTCCTGCCTCTGCCTCCCAAAGTTCTGGGTTTACAGGTGTGAGCCACTGCACCCGGCCAGTATTAGGAAAGAGTCCTCAGTTGTGTGGTGGCCAGGAAGTGGCTTCTGATCTCTGTCCGAGAGGTACCTCCCTGCCTTGGTCACCATCTGAAAAGTTCCTTCACTGCAGCTCCACCCTCCCTGAATCCTGGGATTCCTGAAGAGCTGCAGGGAAGCCTGGCTGAGTGGAGAGGCCTGTCCCTTTGTTGTTGCTCATCTGAACTCCCTGAAGGCTGGAGCAGGTCCCTGAGGCTTTCTGACCACACACTCCACTTCCCTACTGTTTCTGGGGTCACTTTCCCAGGAACCACGGAAATCCATCACAGGGGCCCATGACAGGCAGTGTAGGCCTGCATCAGTGGGCAGCCCCTGGGCCACCATCTGCAAGTACAGAGGCTAGACTCTGAATGCAGGCCTGTTGGCTCTCAGGCCAGGGGATGCAGAGTGAGAACCACTCCCCAACCCCAGCCTCATGGTTTCCTCTTACTGTCACTTAAGAGTCCAACATCCTGCCTTCCCTGAGAAGAGAGATTCTTTACCAGCAAGGCACAGTATCCATAACCCTACCTTGACAAAGTAACAAATACCAGCCCCTCTGGCAGCACGATGCCCTGGTTCTGGGTGTGCTGGAGAATGCCCTGTGTTTATTTGTATGTCCTCCATGCATGCCACATCCCCACTCTGCTGCAGCAGTGGCAGGGGTCACCCCTAAGATAAGCCCCTGATGGCTTCCTAACTGGTCATCAGCCTCTCACATTCTAAGGTCCCTTCCTGGCCTCAAGATCCTGTGAGCCTATGACGCTGATCATACCTTGAACCCAAGCCCCCTCTGAGCTTTTGTACACAACTGCAACCGTATCGCTTTGCCCTTGCTGATACACTGTTTTGTGCTTGAGCTTCTGGCTGCTCTATGTGAGTCTGTTTTGTCTTCCTGCTTAGATAAAAAACTCAAGGCCAGGGACTCGCTGGTCAAATAATAAAGGCAAAGTCAGGCTTTTCGGGCTTGCAACATCCAATTCTTATTTAAACCGCCCACTTCCAGGCATCAATCCCCCATCCTCATCAACAAGTTTATCAACAGAGTTGACTCATACTTGGGGAGGTGTGACCTCAGTGCTAGAAAGAGGAAGTACCAACAAAAAGCTCTATGACTTCCTGAAAGGTCTCAAAGTTGGTTTTTTGGGGGAAATCCTCCAAGGAGAGTTGGGTAATGGTGGAAGGACGGGCTGGGGAGGAGGGTCAGGGCAGCAGAATGAGGATAAAGTACAAACAGGGAAAGGACGGGGCAAGACCAGGATGCCAGAACGGATGGTGAACACAGAGGCTGAGCCTGGCACCCTTCCAGAGCAGTGACCACTCGAGGCACTCCACCCTTCCCAAGCTTTCCACGGGCTCTGTCCACCCACTCTCCCTCACCATCTGCCTCCCAGGCCACGCTGTCCACACTGAGTGAGCCTAGTATTTTATTCACATACTAGAAATAAGCCAGTACAAAATACATTTTTAGAAAATTCACTTGGAGATACAAGTCCCGCCCCCACCCCTCCAGAATCCCACACATCTGTGCTCTTTTCCCCAAGTCACTCAGCTCTGCTGGGTCTCCTGTAAGAGCTGGAGCAAGGGGTCATCAGCTCTGAGGGCGAAGGTAAGAGTGCGCCGCTGGTAGTGCCTGGGTTCACACTCCAGGTTCTCGATCACCTCGGCCAGCAAGTGAGCCCGCTCCACGCCCGAGCCAGCGGCCTCGAAGCCCAAGGCGGTGAAGTGCACATGCAGGTGGTAGTAGGAGGGCAGGTAGTGCAGGTACACTCGTAGGCGGTCGCCCTTCACCTGGTAGCGCTGCAGGATGGCTTCCTGAAGAGGAAGGGGAGGGCAGAAAAGGTCATCGTGCTGCCAAGAGCCCGCGCCACATGCCAACCTAGTCCCGTGTTCCACCTTAATCCTGGACCAGCCGGGACAGCTAATAAAAACCCTTAAACAGCTCTCTGCCCACTGGTTGCTTCAGATCCTCGTGTCTTTCGAGGGTATGAGGGCAGCAGGTGACGGCAGCAAAGCTGAGATTCCTTCCCCCAAAAGAAAGGGTGGTGGCCTAGGTTAGGGTTCCCTATCCCCAACCTGGATAAAACCTTGGCTTCCTCAAACAGTTGGCCCCAGATTCCCAAGACACCAGGACAATCCTTCCTCTGGAAGATTTATAAGCACTTAGTAAGTCAGAAGTGGGTGGGAGGAGGCCTCATTCTCTCTTAGCACAGACCAGGGTGGAGCTTGGGAACAATGGAGATGGGCATGGGGCCATGCTGGGAACTTGGAGGAAGAGAAGGGTAGGTGAGGGGTATGGGAGGGGCTGCTTCCCCACAGGCCCCAGGAAGCCTCAGCTGGGCTCCTTCAGAAGAGGAGAGCATTTATGTAGGCCTGGCTCCCTTTGCCCACCTCCACCTTGCTCGGGGATGAGTCTTTTTCTAGCAACCTCCACCTTCAAGAACTTCCAAAGATCAGAGGAGAATCTGATCTTCACAGCAAATGCCTGAGGAGGTCAGAGGTGAAGAGAAAAAGACTAGGGTCTCAGTGAGCCCAGAATACACCCAGAGTTGCACTCTGCACTTGGAGCTCACCCCAGGGCCCTCTGCAGTGGGGTGATTCCAGGGACAAGGCCCAAAGGACTTCCTAGGATAAGCAGGACTGGCCTGCTAAGGTGAGGCTGTCTGAGCTGCCAACAAAGGCCAAATCTCGCTGAGAGAACGACGCCATTCTCTGCCATCCTGTAGTAGCCAGGATGGAAACAAGTCACCCTAAAAAGACAGAGGCAGCCACAAGGGGTGGTGACATGGGCAGGCAGCAGGGGAGGAGGGAGAATACAGATGGGGCACAGTGGCAGGGAATACTGTAGTCCAGGCAGAGCCCTTCCTTCAGGTCTGAATTCATGCCTCAGAGCAGCATGGGCCAAAAGGGGGCAAACCTCTCTCCTGGCTGGGCATCCTTGGGACTTTAAGTCCTGGAATGACAGGAACATCTTCTCATTTGGAAAAAAGACTGATATCCAGTCCTGTAGAACTGTGGACTTAGAAAGGATGCCGTCTAGATACTGAAGTTCAGAGAGGTGAAGTGACTTACCCCAGGCCACATGGCTGGGCAGGGTCCAAATGCCAGGCGAAGACCACATCTCAAGATTCTGGACACTCTTCCCTCATCTCCCTCTGCCTCCAGGGCTCCTTCTAGCAGCCCTCTAATTTCATTCAATTCAACAAATATCTCGATAGAAAGTCTCCCAGAACACGTGCTACAGAATTCATTCTGCCCTCAGCCTAGACAAGGACACACATGAGTATACACTTATTAAAGTCGTGTGCCCACACATCCAAGGAACTGGTTGGCACAATGTGGCTGTCATAAGTGAGTCAGGTGGGAAGGGCCAGGACTTAGGACTAGAGTCTATGGAGGGTGGAAGGGAATTCCAGATGGGACGTGAAGGTGAAGAAAGGTGGCTGAAAGCAGAGCTGAAGGGTCAGGCAGGGACAGGGCACAAAGGGCCTTATGAATCAACCCAAAGAGACTTCACGGGTCCCAGAGAATGGTATCCAGAGAGAAGTCCCTTTCCCACTCTACTCTAGAAATGGTGAGGAAAGTAGCCCAGGGAACACATGGGAATCTGAGTCTGGTTCCTCTGGGCTTTGACGTGGTTTGATGAAGCAACTCACCTGCCCCTGGCGAAGGATGTTCCTGAGCAGCGGCAGGTGCTCTGCAGTGAGGTCTCGCAGTGACCTGATGCCCCGGCGATGGCAGATGGCAATCAAGTATAGGTCATCGAGCTGTGTGGACACCGAGGGGAAACCAGGCTCGGAAGGGGACAGAGCTGGGGAGGCTGCCAACCCTGGATTTCTCACATGAGCCAGGACCCACCTATCCCCAAGGCCTCAGTGCCACTCACCACCAGTCTGAGACCCCACAGCAGGACAGACTCCCAGGCTATGTGGGCATCCATGTGCTCAGGGCAAGTGGGATGGTCTAAGGAACAGATCCTCTAGGTATCATTTCTGCTAAAGAACATCATAGGGGAATATCCACATTCTCACTCTACAGAGCTGATGGGGCAGGGAGCAGGGGGAAGGTTCAAGAAAGAGCCAAGGACAACTCTTTTCTTCTATAAGCTTACAGTCTAATTGCACATAGGTAAGTAACTGTAAGACATAAAGTGATCACAGTACAGGAGGAAAACGAAAGACTCTAGCCAGCTAGAGCCACCCAAGAAGGCTTCCTGGAAGAGAAGACAGAGGATCTGGGTCTTAAAACAGGGGTAGAGTTTGGAGAAAGGACATTCAAGTAGAGGGAACAGTGAAAGGAAAGGCTCAGAGGCAAGAATGCACAGGACACATGGGGAGAGGAAGGCCCATGAAGGGTGAGTGATGTAAAGGTTGAGAAGGGAGCCTGGGGGCAGCTCAGCAATGCACACACCAGGGCGTGAGCCTGTTTCTCTCTTCCCCTAACTCAGTGGGTTCAAAGACGTCCCTTCCTGCTGTCCTTCCAGAACAGTGCCTAGCTGAAAACCTTCAGGTCACAATAGTGTAGACAACCACATCAACAAGATCTTATGCCAGGGAGCAAATGAACTCTTTCTAATGCCCAGAAAGCCCTTCCTGCTCACCCAAACCCTGGCCTTGCCTAGTTATCACACCCACATGCCAGACAGGTCCCAGACACCAAGATTCTGAAGAGAAAGGCAAGGGAGAAACTAGCAGGGCCCAGCCCTGCAGTCGAACTGCTAGATTCCTCATAGAGATAATTTGGGGACCATGAGTCACCCAACCAAATTCCCTGGGGCCCCAACTTAAACACGGAGGATGAGATTTTCCATATGACTGCCTGATATCCAACTGTGTCACAGTCTCTTCATGCCACATTCCTTCCTGCCAGATTTCTAAGAATCCAGGCTCTCTGCCCCAGATGTGCAGCAGAAGAGCCATGGGAAGCTCCCAGTGTACAGCTAAGCTGCTCCCACCAGGACTCAGTGTTGCCCCCAAGTCCCTTCTCATGGCCTGCGCCCAGGAAATTTGCTCTCTCACTAACTACAAGTCCAAGGAGAAGCCAGGAAGCAAAATTGCTTGAAGCTGGGGTATATGTGTACATGTGTACATTTTCAGCTGTTTTATGTGTCACTGTCATGGGACTCCCAAATAATAGCAGCATTTGTTTTAGATGATTTCTGCTGACTGGGCAACTTGGTGAGACCTCATCTCTATAATAAATCAAAAAATTAGCTGGACATGGTAGCACGTGCCTGTAATTCCAGCTCCTTGGAAGGTTGAGACGGAAGGATCGCTGGAGCCCCAGCAGGTCGAAGTTGCGGTGGCCGGGAGCAGCCACTGCATTCCAGTCTGGGCAACAGAGTGAGACTTGAACTCAAAAAAAAAATCCCAAATATGACATTAAGTTACAACTCTCTGCTTCGCTGGCATGGAATGAGGCATGGAGTCTGGTGCTGGGTGTCAGCCCATGGTGTTGAGTGTCAGCTCACAGGCTGGATAAGGCAGGGTAAAGAATCCATTCTTTGATATTATACATGACCAAAGACTTCCTGCTGACAGACAGAGAGCCTCCTGGCCCAGAGAAATGATCTGGAAAAAGCTAAATCAGGAGCAGACAAGGGTCTTCTTAAACTGGCACCCCAGTCTTAGACTGGCCCATCAGTCACTCTCGGGAGACAGAGAGACACCATCCATCTCTTTTTACAAGTCAAGACAGTAAAATCAATGTAACAACTTCCTGGCAGGAAGCAAGAGAGAGAATGGCTAGTGTTGGACAGCCATCTCTTGACCTCTGGAGTTACTCAAAGGGAGAGTTCCCTGGTCTAAGAACTTTAGATCAAAGAACTTAAACCACATGAACGGAAACGTAAGTGTGACTATAGCTACACGTACATATACATTTATATATGCAGTATAAAAAGGTTTTTTTGTATATGCAATATACAAAGGAGACTGGAAAGGCAGGCAAAGAAACAGCATCAATAGTTGTTTCTGAGGAAGGGAACTACAGAGGTGAGAGAACATACTTTCACACCCTCTACACCATGTGTATCTTTGCCACGTGCATGAATGAAGTAAATCTACAGAAAAATAAATAGGCTGGGTGCAGTGGCTCATGCCTGTAATCTCAGCACTTTGGGAGGCCAAGGCGAGAGCACTGCTTGAGCTCAGGAGTTCAAGACTAGTCTGGGCAACATAGAGAAACCCTGTCTCTACAAATAAATAAAAAAATTAGTAGGGCATGGTGACAATGCACCTGTAGTCCCAGTTACTCAGGAGGCTGAGGCAGAAGGACCACCTGATCCCAGGAGGTCGAGACTGCAGTGAGTAGTGATCATGCCATTGCATTCTAGTCTGGGGAACAGAGTGAGACCCTGACTCAAAAAACAAAACAAAAAACCATACATGTGATTTCTTAAGAGAACTAAAGAATGGGTGTTATAACCTCTGGGGAAGTATAATCTCTAGCAAAAAAGCAGTTGGTGAATATCTGTTGAATGGATAAAGGGATGAACAAATAGATAAAGAGTCTCTTTATTTATTTTTATTTATTTATTAATTTTTTTTTTTGAGTTGGAGTCTCACTCTGTCGCCCAGACTGGTGTGCAGTGGCCGCTCCCGGCCACCGCAGCCTCGACCTGCTGGGCTCCGGCGATCCTTTCGCCTCAGCCTTCCAAGTAGCTGGAACCACAGGTGCGCACTACCACGCCCGGCTAATTTTTTTATTTATTGTAGAGATGAGGTCTCACCAAGTTGCCCAGGCGGGTCTCGAACCCGCAGGCTCAGGCAATCCACTCACCTCAGCCTCCCAAAGGCGTGGGATTACAGGCTGAGCCACGGAGCCCGGCTAAGAGTCTCTTTAATTCAGGGTCATCTGGTGACAGTAACTTCTATGACAAGTGGCAGGAATAGATTCAAGGCAGCTAGGAAAGCTGCTCAAAGCAAACACCAGGGCACCTCCCTCTCCCAGTCTTTCCCTGGCTCAAGGACCAAAAACAGAAGCCCAGGCGAGGCCTGTCTTCCTGCTGGATACATTGCCTAATTCTAAGGGACTTATCAAGTTCAGTGCTGTCACAAGTCAAGGATTTGACACAATAAAATATGGCACCATTGAAGACAAGAATGAAGTAAAGGTTAAGAAGGACCACACCTGCATCAATATCATGCACAGCCTGACATTAAAGCTGGTCCATTCACAACTCCCAAGGGCAAGTAATTCTAGCATAGTTCCAGCATAGTTCCTAAAGCCTTTCCTTTAAAGGGGATGGAAAGAGGGCAGTTGCTCCAGTAAGCGAAGCAGTGCCTGCCAGCACTGGGTCAGAAGGATGAGATTTCCACTCAGCGCCATGGGCTCAAATGCATTCAGGGCTTCTAGAATGGAGGTGACTAGTCTGTCTTTTGCTATCCCTCAGATGGCAATGCCCCTTCGGTCTAAAGCTCTTCAGTCTTTAACAGTCTGGTGAGGCACGAATTTCTCCTACTTACCCCCACTCCACCCTGCTGGAATTCTCAGTAGAGGTGTAGTCACACCTCCTCTGATCCAGGCTTTGATCCAGTATCTCCAGCTGCCCTAGGGGACAGATGGGGATTTACAGAATCTGGGAGGGCTTGTCCCAGATCCTCAAATGGTTTCAGAGCCAGTCCTGGCCCCCTCCCTCAAGGCCTGAAGGTGGCACAGGCAGTGAGAAGCAGCAGTGGAGAGTGAGTACAGGTGTTCTCTTAGCCTCTCTCACTACAGCACCCCACACATGGAGAGCCATTTTCTTTGATCTTACCTGGCTCTAAGAAGCTATCACTCAATGCTGCAAATTCTGGAAACTCCCTTCAAATTCCCTACCATCCCTTAGGCCATGCTCAGGAACCCCCATGAACCTCCTGTCAAGAGACAGATGATGCTCACTTGCCTATGTGACTCTGAACCAAAATCCTGTCCCTTTAATGCAAATTAAAACTAGAGGCCTCATGAGTAGGCCACAACTAAGAAAGCAGAGGGAGGGCAACCCTAGAGAAGCAGACAGGGCCCACACTCCAGAATGTCTTTCCTACAAGAGTACCTCAAGACTGAGGGGAAACAGAAGACAGATGGGCCCACCTAGAACAGAAGGTTACACCTGAGCCTGGATTGCTTCAAGAGTGGAAGTGGGGGACAGAGGATGTCTATCTACTTCTAGCACCCACGTCTGCCTGCCTTGGCCTTATCCTGGTCTCCTTGCTGTTGCAGGCTGAGTGCAGCCCAGTTCTAGTCTGTGGTGTAAATTGCACTCTCTGTAATACGTAGTTCTGCCTGGTTCTGATCCTGTCGATGTTTAAAAGCTTCTGACACTATCAGGGTATGAGAGAGGTGATGGTTACGTCATAACTATGACAATGGGCTGATCCGGGAAAGAGAGGGAGGTGGAGATAGGAGGAGGCCACAGAAAACTGGACATGAGGCCCGTGAATATAGATAGCTGCTCTAATACCTGCTCCTTAGAAGGTTGGGAGAAGCAGAGGTGCTTGGAGGCCAGGGAATAGGGGGGCTGAGAGGCTTGAGTGGATGTCCCGACTACTGGGAACAGTACTCTGCAGCTCAGGCGTGTAAGAAGGTCCTTGGGTTGGTCGCCATGGTTCCTGCCTACCAGTGCTTCAGAACACAGATCTGCCCAGATCTGCTGGTGTCCAGGGGGACAGAGAGAATGTAAACACTCCACCTGAGTGCTCTAGGTGCTGCTGAAAGCAAAGGTGACAGCCCAAGCCACTTGATTGGTTAAGGAATGGCCCATGTAGTTATGGATGTAAACATCACCGCTTTTCACCTTTTGGGTGGGAGGAGAGCCAGAAAGGGCTTCAAGCTGACCCAGTAAAGCAAAAGCACTTGTGTATGACAGGTATGCACTCTGTCACCATGGAGAACTCAGGCCACTGCTTGTTGGTTAATTATGATCTGTTTAAGAGTGGTTAGTGACCAGTGACCAGGGCGTCAGCAAGAAATCTTTACCTGCTGCTGGTTCCACTTAAGGTCAGGGATGAGGACAAAGCCGTCAGAGGGATCTGGGTTCTCGAAAACAACCCGGTCTGCTTCAGCCTTCTTATCGAGAATATTATACACCCACTGAAAGGAAGGGAGAGAGATGGTTAATACATCCAGCCACCACCCTTGAAATACACCCACATGGACTAGTTACGGTCTCTGGCTTCACCAGGAAGGACGACCAAACCATAATAGGCCACTAAGCTCGATGGATCTATACTCAGGCTGTCCTGTCCCCAAGCACCTGCTCCTGAGGGTCCAAAAGATTTCCCCTCTCCCACCCCAGCTGACATTCAGTCTCTACAGTCATCACAAGGGCCTCTATAGCTCAGACAGGGCCAGACCCTCTAGGCTCCTCCAGGTCAGCATGGTGCACATGCTCTGCAGTGGCCTCACTGCCTGGTCTGCACCTGCCCCTGTGGCAGCACCCCCTCTACCACTCACAGGACTCAGGGAAAGAGCTGTCTCCATGGATTCCATTTTGCTTTATTTGGGACCATGGGGCAAAAAGAGATCAGAAGGCTGAGGTACCGAGATTTCCTTCTGCAAAGGGGGCCAATTCCCCGCCAGGGCAGTGAGAGCCTTTGGTTCTAGCAGTTCTTGTGTATGGTTTCCTGCCCCGCTGGGATTCTCATAGAGGTGGGCTCAGCACCTCTGCCAGTCTGGAGTTGCTGCAGATGCCAGTATATCAGCAGTCTCAGTTGACACAGGCCCTGCATGACAAAGCAGAACCGAAAGCCATGTGGAGACGTGGAGATGGTGACCTTAATTAGATTTTTCTCATTGACCCTGGGCTTCTGACCCTCGGTCACTCTTGGACAGCTGCTGCTGACAGTCTTCAGGAGACCTTTCCCAGGACATCACTTTACAGAGACCATCCTAGAAGCCTGTCAGACGTTAGGTTCAGACAGACCCTGGGCTCAGAGAGCTCAAACGCTGGTATCCCCGGCTCCTCTCTATTTCCCCAGCTCTAAAGCTCTTTGCAAACATGAGTTCAAACATGAACTCTCCTCCCTATGGCCGAGAGAAACTTGCTGGAAGTCCCCAGACAGGGGAGTGGCTGGAGTCACACTACTACCCTTCCTTCTCACAGGCAGAAGGGCCTTCAAGCTCACTGGCAGAGAGTGGGATGGATGGACAAGGAAGTGATACCACCAGATCACCATGGTCCTCTTCCCACTCCCAGAAGTGCTGAACAGGTAATATTGCTGAAGACCAGGGCAGTGGGACTGGCTCAGGGTCTGCATACCTCATACTCTGTGCCTGGAGAACTGAGCACACCATACCTCCTCAGCTCCACTGATGTGGAGGGAGCAGAGATTAGCTACATGGGGATATGTGGGCCTTTAGGTGTCCTGCAACCACCTACCTGTGGGAAGCATTTCTGCTCAGAGGGCCTCCAGATGCCCTGACAAGACGTGCAGTCTGGTCACAATATGGTCCACCTACTACAAAGAGGGGCCCCTCCCAAGAAACTGGGTGAAGTCACTTCTGAGAGAGGTATGGAGGACACCCAGCAGTCGCTTCCTTATGTAGCGCTGGGTGGAGATTCATCCAAAGGCATTTCCTCTCTAACCCGAGATCTCCCTGGGAATGTGCTGCTGGAGGAAAAAGCCAGCCAGCAATAAAGGGGAGGGAGGGTGATGGCATTCCCCCCAGAGAGCTCGGTACAACTATTAGCAGGCCTCCTGGAGTTGTCTGCTGCCCACAGAGAAGGAATTGTTGCCTCCTCTGCTATCAGTGAGAGCCTGAACCAGCCCCGGAGCCCAACGAGACTTGGTTTCATCTTCCAGTGCCACCTCTGACAAGCTGTCACCTTAGGCGAAAGACTGACTCCTCCTTTGTAAAATGGGGCTGATGATATGTACACGAGGGCTGTGATGAACATGCTCATGAAAGCATCAAGTACAACCGGCATGGAGGGGCCCCCACGAACAGAGGTACTTAAAAAGCTCCAACACAAGATGGTGATGGCAACGGATGGTTTGCTGAGGCTACAAGACTAATGAGGAACAGGAAAAGAGGAAAAGGCAGTGAGAGCAAAGGAGGCGGCAAGAGAAGAAATAAGAGTGAGGCTAGAGGGTGAGTGACCACAGGAAGGCATGATGACTGCACAAGCAACCTCACTGTATCTGGCACTGCTCTCAGTGCCACAGCAACTCTGAGAGTGGCTGATGTCATTGTCCGCATTTTGGAGGTAAGGAGAAGGCAGGTGCAAGGAAGTATGCTCAAGTTGCCTCAATTCCAGCCCTGTGAGCCCGGCTCCTGAGCCTGTGCTCTGGGCCACGTTGTATCCTGCCTCCTGGGATAGACCTCTGGGAGAGAGCAGGGTCCTGCATCTGCAGAAAACCTCAGGTCAGAAGCCCAAATAAGAAAAGGAAGAGAGAAGAGAGTGAGGGAAGAAAATTCACACAAATCACAGAGGGCTATGTGAGGGAGTGTTGTCATCTGAAAGCAAGTCTGGAGGACTCAGTCAGTGCCACTGATACACGGGGCCGTGAATGATACCAACAACACACCTGGATGGACTTCTTTGTAACAGGTGATGCTGGCAGCTCCCTTGGCACACTCTTTCCTCCCTTGACCTCCCATGCAACCTCCTGCTCCTTCCTCACTCATCTCCTGTTCTCTGCTTCTGCTTACTGCCTTGTCCCTCCCCTCTGCCTCCCAGGGGTATTGGCTCTGCAAACTTCCTGTCTGCTCCCCTGAACAATAACCTGGGTGTAAAGAATGGTGGCTACCATCCCAGCACCATCCTGTCCTGGAAACAATAGCAGGCCATGATATATGGCACTTCTCAATTTCTGCAGGAACCAGGAGGGAGGGGCCATTGGTCACATCTTCCAGACAAGGAAACCAGGTCTCAGAAGTTAACCCCTGCTCTTAAATGGCAGAATGAGAATTCAAGCACCAGGGTGAGGCTGAAGCCCAACTGGACAACTCAGAAATGGGCGTTTTTTACTGAATGGTCTCAAAGGCTCCAGATCTAGACATCCCCCCTGCATTTTTTTACTGGGCAGTTTTACTGGGATGTTACAAGTACCTCAGATTTGAGGAGCCACATAACATCACCAGCTACAAACACAGGCACTGGAGCCATGAGTTGCGCTCCACAAGGGGTGCTGTGACAATTAAATGAAGCGATGTAAGTAAAACACTTAGAGTAGACTCCTGGTACCTAGCAAGCGCTCAATACATCCCAAACTGAACTCACCATCTTTCCCACAGACCTACTCCTCTGTCCATGTCTCCCACACTGGGCCTGCCTTTTAAATTGCTCCAGAACCCTTCCCCACTGTCCCTACCTTGGTTCAGACCCACAATGGGTTTTCCAATCTTCCTGCTTCTACTCATACCATCCCTCACAGCTAATTCTATAAATCCGATCACATTATCCACATGCTTAAAATTGTTTAGGTGACCCTCACTGCCTATGGCAATTATCCTCAGTTCTGATGATCATTAGAAATATCAGAGAGATTGTTTAAAATTGCACACGTCCTAGCTCCACTCCCTGAAGGGTTAGATTCAGCCGACATGGCATACGGCCCCATGCCCTGCATTTGTAAGAACTTCCCCAGGCAATCCTGATGATAAGCAAGGCCTCCTGGACAAAGTCCTCATGCCTCCTCAGGCCCCTGCCTGCGTTCTATTCCTCCAGTTCCACAAGTCTCACACCAAATTCTTTGTAGCTCTCCCAATGTACCAGACGACTCCAGCTCTCTGCCTCTGGACTCACTCTTCCCTTGCCTCGTCCACCTGGAAAACTTCCATTTGCTCCTTAAGTCCCAAAGGGGGGACTCCCTTGCTGTGAAGCCCCCACCATCTGAGCTGCATCCTTTGTATCATCACTGTAGCTCGTATAGACCACAAGAGTGCCTATCTCATTGTCATAATTGTCCATCTGCATGTCTCACCTTGGTGATCCTCCACAGCCTAGTACATAATCTGGTACACAATAAATATATATAATGACTGTTGCCAGTTAAGCTGAGTACTTGTAAACTTGCTAGAAATAGCCAAGAAGAAATACGTGACTGCTCATGTCATCAGGTGTTGGAAGAGTAGTGTAGTTTTTGTTGTATTCTTTTCCAAGTGGAACTTTATAATGGTGTATAATAAGGTCCATACACGACTCACACCAACCATGCTGGGACTCTCTCTCTGAAATCTCAGATACAAAGTCTGACACTTAAGTTCACGAACTCATCCTAGGAAAAATGCTAAATATCTCATTGCTGAATATCACTATGGCCACCTTTGAAGCTTCCCCTTGGGAAACTATGCACCGACACCAGTGTCTAGTCCACCCATCAAAGCAGTTTTGGAACTCTTTTTCTGGAATGGCCATCAGAGCTGTCATTGTATTACCCTTGATATCCTGAATGTCATCAAAATGTCTTCCTTTCCATATTTCCTTTATCTTTGGGTAAAGAAAAAAGACATCAGAGATCAGATCAGGTGAGCAGGGAGTGTGTTCCAATATGGTTATTTGTTTGTTTACTGGCTAAAAAGTCCCTCACAGACAGTGCTGTGTGAGCTAGTGCATTGTTATGATGCAAGAGCTCCTTCAGGACCATTTTTGTGCACACCTTTCTCATGCCAAGATTTCCAGTTAAGATTTTCCTGTTCTCTATCGATGTTTATTTGGTCTGCTATGCTTCTCACAGTCAGTTAACAATTTTGATGCACAATTTAACACATTTAAAAAATATTTTCATCAGTTCTGCTTCTTATGGACCATCCTGACGTCTCTTCATCAGTGATGCTTTCTCTCCCTTCAGAAAAACGTCTAATCCATTTATAATAATGCTGCCATTTTCTTAATGGCAATATCCCATAAACTTGGACTACTAACATGTCTCTGATTTCACTTTCACTCTTGCCAAGTTTAACAAGAAATTTAATGTTTGTTCATTGCTCTAATTCAAGCTCTGATATTCTTGCAATGGCATACAAAAACAATAAGCTGGGAATGGTGTTTCATGCCTGCAATCCCAACACTTTGGGAGGCAGAGGCAGAGGCGAGAGGATTGTCTGAGCCCAATGGTTTAAGACCAGTCTGGGCAACTTGGTGAGATCTTGTCTCTACAATAAATCCAAAAATTAGCTGGGCATGGTGGCACGTGCCTGTAGTTCTAGTTACTCAGGAGGCTAGGCAGAAGGATCACCTGAGTCCAGGAGGTCAAGGCTGTAGTGAGCCATGATTGTGCCACTGCACTACAGCCTGGGTGACAGAGTGAAAAGTCAAATCAAGGAAGAAAAAAAAAAACAGCTTGAGCCAGAGACACTTCATGTGAATGTTGCCCAGCAAGACTATGGCTGGGGAAGGAGGTTGCTGGCACACAGGCCTCCCAGGGAAGTGTCGTCCCTGCAGGCCCTGCCAACCTCCCTCTCCTCACTCCTTCCAAGTACAATTCACCTTGTGGCCCTGCACACCCAGAACACCTGCCCTTCTGGGTCAGGGAGGGTGGCTGCAAGTTTCCCACATCACAACACTCTCTATCACAGTGACCTGCATCTTGGGGCGAGTATGTGAGAAATACTCAAAGAGAACAAGAGTGAGTGGTGAGGAGAAGACACCAGTGAGAGGCAGTGTGTGGGCAAGAAAACGACTCATCAATATACAACAATCATATTTAACTCTGAGTATTCACATGGGGCCAATTCCAGGCAGAAGTGCTGGTTGGCGCTGGGCCCAGGAAAGAGTCGGGACTGCTGAGCTAAATGGCCTTGCATCTGGCCCCCAGTCAGGAGACTCTGTCAACCTGTGAATACAGGCTCTGCACCAAACAAACCTCCAGGGACAACAGTGTCCTTCCTTCTGTGGGACAAATGTTAGGGGGAGCATGGGAGGACAAAGTATTTTACTCTGAGACTCAGTTCCTGGAGGCTGGTCAACTGCAGGTGAACCACAAATAAGTCTGGACTGGGTTAGGGCCCTAACCCAGTATCAGTCTTTCACCCATCCACAGACCCCTACCTAGCAAGGGCACAGTCATCCTGAGGCTGCATCAGGGCTATTGCAGACAGATACAAATTCTTCCAATGACCTGGACTGCTTTGAGATCCCCACAGAGCCTTGGGTGGGGCCCAAGACCAGGGTCAGTTCCCTTATCCACGAAGTCTTCTCTGAATGTCCTACATAAAACAGCTACCCGCCCACTCCGGGTCTTTCAGTCCCACTGGCCCTGTCCACTGCCCTCCACAGCACGTATCATCTTGCGTGCATTGTGTTCTGTCTCACCGTGCATGGGGTGTCAGCTCCATGAGGCAGGGACTCTGCCTGCTGTGCTCTCTGCTGTACCCTCACTGCCTAGCATAGCACCAGGTCCCTGGTGGGACTCCAACAGGTGCTTGGCCACAAAGTGGCACTCGGAATGTGCAACAAGTGGCCAGTCACCTGAATGCTGAGGCTCTGGGACTCCAGGTGGGGTAAGGTAATGTTTCTGTAGTCATCTCCTGTCTCTCGGATGAGGCGGAGGTCCTGGCGCAGGTACTTCTGCAGGTGTTTCTCTGTGGCAGGGTAAACTACCGTCGTCTTTACATCTGCAAAGACAAGTACAGCCTGTGAAGAGAAAGCAATGCCCATTCTCTGTGCCACAGACACTATGGTAAGGAAATAACTCCCACCCAGCTTTAACCCTGATGAGGCAAGTCAAAAATCAAGAGGTCTTGTGCACCCAAGATCCATTCCCCTGAGGTGCCATGACACTCATGAGCTGGGTCACACTCAGAACCTGAAACACAAGGTTTTCACCAGTGGGACACTGGGCCCCTCATCACGTGAACCCCAGCCCTTACTCCTCCATCTTCTAGGCACAGGAATGAAAGGTCTCTAACTCTCCTCACATGCCAAATTTCTAGGCATGTGGCTTTCTGGACCGAAAGCTGAAATGTGGTTTAAAGTCAAGTAGCCCTGTTAATGGAGGGCAGTGCAGCATCATAGACGAACCACAGACTCTGAGCCAGACTGTCTGGGTTCAAGTCCTGGCTCTGTCTGCTCCTGAGTCATTCCGAGTGGGACTGTGGCCCCACCTGGGAGCAGGGTCCAGCTATTTAACCTCTCTGTGCCCATACATCTCCACCTGCCAAATGAAGATAGTTATAGCTCCTATGTCGTAAGGCTGGGAGGATGAAGCAAATTAATTACCTGTGAAGCTCTTAGAACTATGTCTGACACACAGTAAATACTGCATACGTGCTGGCTATTTTTAATCCAGGGTTTCTCAACCTCAGTCCCATCCACAACGTGCGCTAGTTCTTTGTTGTAGGACTGTATTGTGCATCACAGGATGTTCAGCAGCATCCCTGGTCTCTACTTGGATTCTAATAGCACCTTCCCCACAGTTGTGACAATGAAAATTGTCTCCAGACACCGCCGAATGTCCCCTGAAGGGCAAAACTGTCCCCAGTTGAGAACTATGGTTTTAGTCAGAAGGACATCTTGTAGTTTTCCAAAACAGAATTTAGGCCAGCTAGCATTCTGGTCCAACATCACCTGGTTTTGGTTAAGTCCTTTTCTCTGTCTGTAATAACATCAGATACAACTGTTATCATTATGCTAACATTTATACACAGTGCTTCAACACAGGTCTTAGGAGGAAAGGAAAATGGTGCTTCAAAATCAGTTGGGACTGTTCTCAAAAGACTCACAGTTCCTGTCTGACTCCCTTACCCAAGATTCAGATATTCTCTGGCAGAGAAACCCAAGAGAGAGAAGCCCAGCAGGTACATTTTAACCCCCCAGGAAATCCTCACACACACAAACATACCTCAAGACCAGATAAGAACCATCAACCTATACTTTCATATTTGGTCTAAGGACATGGGTGGCTCTTATCTCACTTTCATAGTAAGTAAAAAGGGCTGGTAGGGATTTAGGCGCACTCGTATCACACTGGGAGATGTAGCAGAGGCAAGACTGAAACCGAGGCCTTCTCACTCTAAATGGGTGCTCTTGAAACACTGCAGGATGCCCAATGGCCTAATTTTTTCTTCCAAAGTCCAGTGGAGATGTACAAATGTGACACACTGAGCACATGACCGCTGGTGAACATCAAACATTCCAGACCATCAGCTCTGAAAGGCACAGCAACATGGTGGGAAGACACGGTCACTCACCCCGAGCTGGCCATGTGACTCCCCTTGGGTGTGTGGCTTAACCTCTTAGAGTCTCAGTTTCCTTAGCTGTTAAAGGATGATCACTAAATCAGCCTCACAGAGTGATTGTTAACATCAAGCAAAATATGTCATCTGGCTCACCAGAGGGGCTATTACCCCAATTCTGTATCTAAAAGGGAGGCAGAAAAGCCTTCCCACAACCCTCTGGGCAGCAGCAGAAAGTGAGCAGGTCCTCACTTCTCACTCTTCTCTGCTAACAGCCCAGGTTATAGGCCAGAGGCCAGAGGTCAAGCATTCCAAGATCTCAAGGACAAGACCGCCTAAAATAGGTCAAATAGCATCACCTTGGTTGGCCCTCGCAGTGGACTCAAAGAAAATCCTGTGATACCTATAGTGTAGCTTGGCAGATGAGAACAGAGATTGTGGAGCCAATCAATCTGGTGCAAATCCTGGGTCCGCATTTACTAGCTGTGCAACTGCAGGCAAGTGGCTCACCCTTTCTGTTGCTTAAGTAGCTCCGCCTGTAAAATAACAGCACCCATCTTACAGGGCTATTGTGAGAATTAAATGAGTTGGCACAGCTGGGCGTGGTGGCATGCACCTATAGTTCCAGCTACTTGGAAGGCTGAGGCAGAAGGATCACCTGAGCCCAGCAGGTCGAGGCTTCGGTGGCCATAAGCATGCCACTGCACTCTAGCCTGGGCAACTCTGGATCAAAACAAACAAACAAACAATGAGTTGGTAGAAAGAAAGCAGAATGAGCCTCACACACAGAAAAGCGCTCCACAAACGCTAGCTCTGATTCCCATTGCTTTCACATTGTCTGAGTTGCCTGGGTAGGCAGTGGGGAAAAAGCTCCCTGGGTGTGTGGTGAGATGGGCTGGGAACAAAGGCAGAGCTGACATTGGAGAGCAGCCTAGCTGTGTTGGCAATGGACACTTGGTCCAGGCTCACAGCCTGGGGCTCCCTAGATGCTTCAGATCAGAAAGCCGCTGGGCCTGTGAGCACGCCCTGGTGTGCCGAGACTTGTCCAAGGCTTGTCCAGCCACCCAGAGTGCAGGAAAACAGGCCTCTCACCAAGCCAAGCCCCTCCTGCTTTCCCACTGGCAGTCAGGAGAACTCCAGAGGCACTTATTTTCCAATGGTTCACTTCCTGCTGTCCTTCCTCCTTTCCCAAGAAGCTAGTTCTGGACAAGGAAACCCTGCTGAGGCACTACCTCCAGAGCCAACCTCGCCTGAGGGGCCCAGCTTCTCTTATACCACCACTAGAAGCCCTAGCCAGGACCACGCTAGCCCCTCAACCATCTACCCCTCTACCATCTCCCACTGGCCTCCTAGGCTCTTGGTCACCTCGTCCTGGCCTCTTTCCACCTTCAAGTGCCACCACTCTCCCTTGTGCTGCTTCTGCTCCAGCCACGCTGAGTCCTCACTGGCCCATCACGTACATCAGGCATGTGCCTCTCTCCAGGTTGTATACCAGAAGCTCCCACCACAAGGCAGATGCTCCTATACAAGAAGCCCTGTTGCTCCTCGCTTTGATCAGGTCTCTGCTCTGAAGCCAGCTTCTCAGGCTCAAACAGTCCCGGTAAAACAGTAGCCTTGACCTTGTGGTCCCCATCCCCTTCCCAGACTGCTTCCTCTTCGCTTCTCTTTTTTTTTTTTTTTGAGTTGGAGTCTCACTCTGTCACCCAGACTGGAGTGCAGTGGCCACTCCCGGCCACCGCAGCCTCGACCTGTTGGGCTCCGGTGATCCTTCCGTCTCAGCTTTCCAAGTAACTGGAACTATAGGCGCACACTACCACGCCCAGCTAATTTTTTTATTTATTGTAGAGATGAGGTCTCGCGAAGTTGCCCAGGCGGGTGTCTAACCCGTGGGTTCAGGCAATCCACTCACCTCGGCCTCCCAAAGTACGGGATTAGAGGCTGAGCCACCGAGCACAGCTCCTCTTCACTTCTCATTACCTGACAATAGCATGTGGATTCTCTGTCCGACCTCACATTAGAAAATAACTTTGAGGAAGACATCGATTTAACCTAGTGTGTTTTTTATTAACCATTTATCCCCAGCACCCAGAATAGTACCTGGCATACAGTAAGCACTCAACAAATATTTACTGAACAACTGAACACATGAATCTGGCCCTTTCAGACTTTAAACCCAGAAAGAGCATTTCTGTCTGAAAACCCCTTTGATAAAAATAAATATATTTCCTAATGCTAAATTTTACACAGAAAGCCACAAACTAGACTTTGATGTTAACCTACATGCCAATATAGATGCTGACCTGTAGCTGAACTTCGAGTGTGATCAGGAGTCAATGCTAAATAAACAATCAAACCATCAGGTGAAAATGTGTTGGGTAACAGGATACACATGCACAGTCTCAAAAAAACCTCCCCACAGATTACTTATTAATTACAAAGGGAAAACAAGTAGCTTTACAGCAGCAAAAGGCTACCCCCTCCATCAAGCAACCCCCTCCATCAAGCAACCCCCTCCGTCAAGCAACCAGAGTGACCATCACTCCTATTGGGCATGGGAGGCCCTAGCATCACGTGTCTCCTGATGGATGCAGTACTCTAACCAAAAATGCGCAACCTGCATCTAATCACGAGCAAATATCAGCAAACTGCAATTCAAGCGCATCCAACAAAACAAATGGCTTTTTAATGCTTCAAAAATGTCAGTTAGGAAAGACAAAAAGGCTGAGAAAGGAGACTATAGAGACACGACTGAAGGGATTGCACTTACGCCTAGATGGGGAGGGGAGCCCAGCTTTAAAAACAGCACTGAAACAACTGGCACAACCTCATAATGGAATCTACATCACACAAGTTTTATATAAATGTAAAATGCCCTGAAATTGATCAGCTTATCTTTTTTTATATCCATAATTTTTATTGTGGAGAGAGAAACAGCAAATGTGGCAAAATGTTAACAGTAGGTGAAAGGCTTTCATAAGGGTATTCTTTGTACTATTCTTACAGCTTTTCTGTAGGTCTGAAACTTTTTTCAAAATAAAGTTTTTAGCAAAGCAACAATACCCTCTGAAATCTCAGCATTGATTGTTAACACTATTCTAAGACCAATACATGCATTAACCCATTTACTCCTCATGACCAACATAAGGAGGATGTTATTATAGTCCTATTTTACAAAGGAAGAAACTGAGATGCAGACATGGAGTGGCCGAGTTCCCACAGCCTGTGTGGTGCTCAGGTCTGGCTGATCTGCAGCCCCACAGTGGCAGCCCCATCTCTGCCCACTGCAAGTCAGCAGATCAGGACTTACAACCTTCCCAGGCTGCCCCTGCCAGGCACCGTCTGGCAAGTGGACTTGAGGGCGCCATCTGTTGAGGATGAGCAATACCTGGCAACTCCTCTGCCAGAAAGCTTTTCCCTGCAGCTAGAGAAGCACTGAGGAA